AACAGCTCGTCCTGCAATAAAACCGCTTACCTGAACCCGGTCTGCGTCGGTGTCCATCCTGTGCATCTCTCACACATAACAGACAAAACAGGGCTATAAATTACAAATTAAATTAACTAGACAAGAACGACTTAGTTTGTCGTGACTAAGTTTGCAATGTAAGCAATTAGATGTTAGGTTTTGTTTAGAACCCGTCCACTGATTTTGATGGGTGACTTTGACAGATAATTTGGTTGCTGGTATCACCTAAATTGTCATTTAAACTGTCATAACGGTAGGTTGAGAATGGACCGGGGAATCAGGAGCAGGCAGTGTTGCCAACTTAGCGACTTTGTCGCTATATTTAGTGAGTTTTTAGACCCCTCTAGTGACTATATAGGCCTACTATTTACACTCGGACGTGCCATCATCACCCACCTTCACACACGGAGCGGGCAGCCCTTTTCAGTCCTAACAGGAGACCAACACGTGAGTTCAGAGAAATGCCGGGCGATGCGGGCTTTATCCCACGGTTGAGCTCCGCTCATTACTGGGATCTCTCCCTTCCTTTATACTAAATTTAGTGTTGCGTGCGGGCGGGCAGGGGATAAATTAGCCAGGGGTGTGTTTCACAAAGCAGGATTACTTGCTTAGCCAGATAACTTGCCAGATTGAAGGTAGTCTGGGCTAAATGTAAGTTGATGAAAATAAGGTCTATTTAGCCCAGACTACCTTAAATCTGGCAAGTTGTCTGGCTAAGCAAGTAATCCTGCTTCGTGAAACAGGCCCCAGGCTCACCCCTTCCCCTCAGGCAATATGTTATCAAATTCCTCCTTTTGTCCAAGTGATGCTGCTTGCATTAACATGGTAAGATAGGCGTCCTTGTGCCAGGTGTCCTTGCGCAATGCCTCCCTACTAGGGTTGCCAACCGTCCCGAATTGTCCGGGGTGACTTCAGTGACGAATCAAGGGAAGGGACGAATCAAAATCACCCATATTTCGGGACGTCCTGGACCATTCGGAACAGTTGGCAACCCTACTCCCTGTCCTCTCCCAAAACCAAGATAAGCATCCTGCATCCCGACCTAAAAGCCCAGATAAGCATCCTGCATCCCGACCTAAAAGCCCAGATAAGCATCCTG